AGACCTGTTTAACAGGTGTAATATTGGAGGAATCGAGACTTTTCTCATACAGTCTCAGTTTCGGTGGACTGGTCATGTCTTGAGAACGTCTGATGACAGGATACCCAAGATCCTAATGTACAGCCAGTTAGATCAGAGCTACAGGAATGTAGGACGCTCATAGCGTGAGGACTTTATATATATATATATATATATATATATATATATATATATAGAGAGAGAGAGAGAGAGAGAGCTAGATACGCCTCTACAAGGGTGGCTAGTCAATCCCTATTGCAGACCCTCGCTTAGGAACATTTGTGTTTGTTCAACACCCACAGAGCCTATATGATGTTTATACTGTAACTATGCTGAGTAGACCTTAGTTTCAGTTTCTGGGGGAGAGCGTTTTATCTAGCGTGATCAACAATCTGAACAAGACCAGCACACTCAAAACCCCGGTGACGATGGCATATATATATATATATATATATATATAAATAAACTTTTTTGTAGTACAAAAGTTAAGGATAGCTAGGAATAAGCATAATTTATATGGCATTTTAATATATATTTTAAAAACTAAAAAAAAAAAAAAACGGTTTCGTCCCAGCTTTATCAAGTTTATTTCTGGGATATAAAAAAAAATAAACGTGTAAATTTAATTGATATTAAAGATAACAATAAATAAATATATATATATATATATATATATATATATATATATATATATATATATATATATATATATATATAAAAAAGGCTTAAACACTAATAGTCCATGATCAAAATTTATTCCATTGGAATCGTAAATACGATCAATCAGACCTACAAATTCAAAAAGAAAACAGAAAAAGCAACTCCGGGAATAAAAAATTAAAATTTAGTGAGAGTGTATGTATGAGAGTGTGGGATATATATATATATATATATATATATATATATATATATATATATATATATATATATATATATATATATATATCCCAGAAATAAACTTGATAAGGCTGGGTCGAAACCGGTTGTTTTTAAGCTTTAAAAAATATAGATTAAAATGGCATATAAATTATGCATATATATATATATATATATATATATATATATATATATATATATATATATAACGAAATCGAAATTATCATAATCCTGAATGCTGTTATTCATTAATGGAGCCAATTTAACAACCACAGGGTAAAGAAAAGAGTGCTGAAGTGTTATGCAATATCAGTCTTCCTCTATGCCAGTACATGTATTGGGATAGGGCATTATGCCTTCCAGAAGTCAATCAAAGTATTACAATCAGAAAAATATCGTTAGAAACAAAGAAAATAGTGCTGAACTCTTATGTATTATCAGGCTGTTTCGTAGTCAAAGTTGAAATTTTTTTTTTCAAAAATAACCCTCTATTTACTTCTCTTCCCTTTGTTTCAGTCACTGAAAAGCATTTCCCATTGGTTTATTAAAAATACATTTTCCTATCTCACTGAAACGAACTTGACATTCGACTTTACAACAGAAAGGATTCACAACTTTTCTCCCCTCTGAGCAACTTTTTCTCCCCCTAACAACCACTTCAGCAACATTTTCCGTGTTTCCAAGACATCTCTGGTTCTTGATGTAGCGTAGTCAACCTTTCCAGTTGACATTTTCCCTAATGCCACTGTTTTCCCAGATGTATGTGTAATTATCATTTTTCACGGCGTCGTTGCTAACACGTGACAGCACAGGAGCGAACGAGGGATGATATTATTATTAAAAATCAATCATAAAAACAATAAAACGCAATAATAACAAACAATTATAAAATAATCAATAATAAATTTTTAAAAATTAACTAACCACACAATAGATAGTACAAAAATGCATTCAGATTCAGTATTTTTTTCCGGCTCAATAGGCCCCAGAATAATTCGAAGCCCTTTACGCCCACCGTTAGAATAATATAATAGGCTACAATGTAAATACTATAGACCAACCCCAGTGCATCACGAATATAAATAGCCCAGCAAAACCACAATGCACATGGCCTGACAATTGCGTTTAGCTTAAAACATACTGTCGCCTCTTGGTGTTGACAATATCTATATATATATATATATATATATATATATATATATATATATATATATATATATATATATATATATATATATATATATATATATATATATATATATATATATATATATATATATATATATATATATATATATATATATATATATATATATATATATATATATATATATATATATATATATATATATATATATTATATATATATATATTAATTTACAAATTCATGAATTATTCATACAAAAAACAAATACAAAGGTTAATGATTTAATTATGAGAAATCCATCGTCGCGAACAATTTAAATAATATACATAAACCCCGAACCTGTTTTTGAATGCAAATATCGTTGTGTCTATAAATTTCTGTTGCATGAGTTCTTATTATTTTTACAAGCTTTCGTCTGTTCCTACAGACATCCTCAGGTAGGTATGTATGTATGTATAGATGTATGTAATAAACACCAAGGGATCATGCTTTCCAGTGTGTTGTCGGTCACGTCCCTCAAGATTAACTCTATAATAAACGACTGGCTTCGTCTTGCTTTACTCCTTGTTGGAACTCCTATTCTGTACCTCCCGCATTTAAGAACCTTATACGTTGGAGTAATGGATATGATTGAGTAATCGGAGAACCAAGTTCGAATTCCATTCGAATCCATTACATTTACTTACAAACAAATACCTTGGGAAAGGTATGAATCCTCTTCTTCTCCCCCCCCCCCAGCTATGGGTAAATAGAACAACAGACTGGGTTCCTTAGACTTGGATTGCAACTGCACTACCACAGAAATAAATGACAACCTAATGCGGGAAAAACTCTGCCTCGTCAGTTATGTATCGAAAGATACATGATCGCCTAAGCGTGTATCACGCATGGCACATAACTGACTGACATACTAATACCCATGGAAAAGGTATGAATACTCTTTTTCTCCCCACCCCCGACAGCTATTGGTAAATAGCAGAACAGACCGGGTTCTATAGCCTTGGATGGCAACTGGTCTACCGCTGAGAGAAATGACAACCTAATGCGGGAAAAAAATCTGCCTCGTCAGTTATGTATCGAAAGATACATGATCGCCTAAGCGTGTATCACGCATGGTACATAACGGATTATCCTTCTAACTGTCGGGTCTGTTAGACGTCTACCTCTTTAACAATGTTCTAGAGGCTCTAATCAACTCTGAAATTTTGAAACCTCTCACATCGCATGATCTTATTTCGGATAAGCAATGTGGATTCTGCTTCTCTATGTCAACTGCTGATGTATTAACTGTTATTACTGAATGAGTCTATTCTTTCGGGAAGAATGATGAGGCACGAAAGGATTTTACAAGGTTTGCCCTACCGGTCTTCTTCATAAGTTGAAGAATATTTGAAGATTGGATCTGATTAAATCGTGAAACGAAAGTTGACCTGTAGGGCCTCTTCGCTATATCTTTTTTTGCATTAACGCAAGTGTCCTCTAAAGCTCTATCCTTTGATATACGTTTTCCTAATTTTCATCAATAACCTTCCTACATGTTCCATTACTCAGACTTCTACTTAAGCTTAATAAATGACTGGCTTCTTCTTGCTTTACTCCTTGTTGGAAGTCCTATTCTCTACCTCCGGCCTTTTACGATGGATTAACAGGTATCGGCTCAGATTGAGGAATAGGAGAGCCAAATACGAATTCGGGTTTGGCTTGCCGGTCTTCTTTACAAGTTGAAGAATTTTTGTCGATTTTTGGATCTAATTAAATCTTTCTTGTTAAATCGTGAAACGAAAGTTGACTTGTAGGGTCTCTCCTCTAGGTCTTTTTTTCCTTAACGCAGGTGTCCTCCAGAGCTCTATCTTTTGACATGCGTTATTCATAATTTTCGTTAATAACCATCCTTTCTCATCTGTTCTCAATTCGATATCTCTTCTCATAACATTTACTCCAGTCTTAATCGATTCAATGATGTCAAATTGGCAGCTGATCTAAAAAAAAAAAAAAATGAGCCACAATCTGCTGTTAACTGGGGCAAGATATGGCTGATTAATTTTAAGGGCCCAGACACGAAACTGCTCTCTTTATCCATGGCTGATGCTAACCACCAGGATTATGACACTATTCACCTTAACGAGCTTGAGTTCTCTGCTGACGTGAATGGTAACCGTCCATTGCATCCATACAATGCCATTCTGAAGGGCATTATTTACAAAAGTAAATTGAACAGTCTACGTTGGATTTTAATCCCAACACGCCGATTCCTTTTACAAGTAATCGTTTCAAGAAACGCGGACACAAATTATGATAATTTTGAGGAATTTGGTTAAACTGTTGCGAAGAGCAAATAAAACCGCACGTAGAATTTCGAAAATGGGAGAAAATGAAAGAGAATATAATCATACTGCCCTAATCTTAGTTAAATCTTCCCAATGTTTTGACTTCTTCCTGGAAATAAAGACCAAATTGAGGACAATAAGTTGTCTATTATGATATAGTAAAAAAAAAAGAAGTGGTAGATTTGAATCCAACAACCAGCGTTCGAAGCGGTTAGGATCGTAAAAAAAGCAATATATAGAATTCTATAGACTCTTCAAACAACAAAGCATGAAAGCAAGAATTGATAAGAAAAAAAAAAGAAAATACTTTTGATACATCCCAATGTTTATTCTCAGATCTTCAGAAAACAATACTGGTCTTGTGTTCCACTCTAGGCAAATATCGGAAGATAGACGCGAAAACATTTAAAGAACTGAACGTGGTTGAACAATGGTGAGTGTCATTTAGAAGAAGTAAACCAAGGATTTAAGGTTAAGTGATTGTAAGTAGAGGTTCGTTTTGATAGAAGCCTTACCGCAAGGTTGTTGAAAAAGTAAGAGAGAGAGAAGAGAGAGAGAGAGATCGGAAGAAGAGAAAGGAATGAAGGAAGAAAACAAAGGAAAAATCATGAGAAGAAGGGGAAAATATTTTTTTAAATGATTTGAAGAAGAAGAAAAATAAAGAATTCACAATTGTTCATGAGACATGAAACCTGCGAACTAGATGTGAACGAGGTGGGGTGGAGGAAGGAAAGTCGAAGAATAATAGAAAAGAAAGGAAAACCAAAAGAAACATTAATAAGGAAAAAGGAGAAGAGAAGAAAGATTAACTGTTCAAGAAGGAAAATGAAGAAGAAGATCCTGAAGAATATATCGACAAAGTCGAAGAAAGTTAACACGAATAATGGCACAAGAGAGAAAGAGAATTACACGAAGGATGAAGAAAAATAGGAAAAAAGTGATGGGGAGAATGAGGAGAAAAATAAGAGGAGGGTAATGATAAGGAATCGTAAAGGTAAAAGAAAGACGTAAAATAAGTGAAGAAGAGTTTTATAAAAAGAAAAATTGAAAGAGAGGTACAAAAAGAAGAAAAAAAAAGAAAAAGGCGAAGAAAAAAAAAGAATATACGCAAAATATACACAAAAAGTAAAATGAGAATGAAATTGTAATAAGTGGCCAAAAAGGCAAGAACAAAACAGAAGAGAATAAGTAAAATGGAAACTTGAAAAATGAAGTAAAATCAAAACATGCACAAAAAATAGAACGAAAGAAAAAATGACGATGATGAGGAGAAGGCGGAGGAAGAGGAGAATGAAGCGAAGGATAATAATGTAGAAGAATAAATATACAAAAGAGAAGAAAAATGAAGAGGCCAAAAAGCGTAAATGAAAGAAAAAGAGGGATAGAAGAAAGAATACAACGATGAAAAAGAAAAAGAAAACTACAAATGATGATGAAGAGAGAAAAAATGATGACAGTGCAATAGAGTTCAACAAATGATTTACTAAAACAAAAGAAAACCACGAAAAAGCACCTAAAATCGTTTACGAAGAAACAAAGAATATAAAAAAAATATATATATAAACTTTGTTTGCATTCACATGCAATTTTTCCTGCAGACATTGGATCTGGGGCTCTTGTTTCTTGATAAAAATTAAGAAAAAAAAAATACCGGAGAGACTTTTCTGTATCCAGCAAATAAGCGAACAAGACAACGGAAGTTTGCTGCGCCAAAGAGGTGATATTCTAGACATGATTGTCAGGAGATTCAAGCACATGATGTCATCTTTGAAAGTTCAGAAAAAAAAATACAAATATGTAAAATAAAATATTTAAAAAAATATTTTAAAATATAAAACAAAGATAAACAATTCCAATATAAAAAAGATACGTTAAGGTGACAAGTTCAGTTACCTAGTCGATTGTCGCGGGGAAAGACATCAAATGACATTCCCCCCACTTAGAATGACTGTCGAATCGGCAAAAACTTTTGAATTTTCAATGCACATAAGCCATTTTTGCTTGCCTGACTGTAACAAACACTGAAAGTTTCAGTCGTAACTTTAAACAATGTTCTTTTTTTTTTAAATTTTTCCTATGAATTGCTTCTCTTTTTCTCTGTTCAGAACATGTATTCCTCCAGGCCATTGTATTCCTTTCGAAAGCACTTAATAATTCAGTGGATGCATTTTACGGCCTTCCTCGAGATTATGTTGAATCTATTTTTTAAGCCAGTAAATTTGATTTAATTTCTTTAATTAGTAAAAACTGCTGAAGATCAGAATATATACGTCCTATCCAACGCTACTACATAAATGGTATTAACGAAAAATATTGCAATATGAGCTCTGGTAAAAACATGCAATGATAACAGCAAAATTGCAATATGAGCACTGGTAAAAATGGTTGCTGAAGACATTAGGTTTATAATACCCAGAAATTCATACCCAGATGTCCTCAAGGACACTGTGGATAAAGGCGTTGGTTAGATCCAGTGACAGGACCCAAAAGAGTGTGAGTTCAATACCCGGTTAAGGCAGTGGAGAACTTTCAGAGGGAAATTAACAGGAGATAACTGATAACTAACATCCATTAAAAACATGGCACGTGGAACTAGAACAGTCTACCCCAGTGATCGAAATAATGGGTTCAGTTCGACATTCCAACCACCTGAAGAAGGCAGGAGCGTACAACGTCTGAAACGTTGTAATAAATATGGCGACAAAGATGAGGACAATAGTTCAAATAATGAAAAAAATATTTCTTATTTTATTAGAGGGCATGGACAGACGTGGCAGCTTGGATTATTTAGCGGGCGGAATTAATTCAGAGTGACTGCATGTTGTTCTTTGGCTCTGCGTCCATCTGTTTTTGGTCTTAGCCTGTCTCTCAAACTGGGTATGAGAAGCATGTCTACGCTTCAAAATTATTGAGGCCCTCTGTTGAATTCGGGCCGTTTTGGACTTATATCCATCATTCAGACAAAGCAATCCATCATTGTCAGAATAGTACACCGAAGAGGCATTCTGACCAATCGCTGACCGCCCAGGCCCTGATCTTCGTATTCTGTGATTAGCGACAACACACCCCATCCTTCGAACTGTGAGCAGCAGGTAGTATCTGTTATTCTTGAATTTATAAGTGGAGCATTGTTCAGTGGTTTCCAACCGTAGGGAAAGACTTTTCTCATTGAGAAAGGTTAATGTTATGCCGACACCAGCTGGACAGTGGCCGTAGAAACTGGCAGTTGTTTTTGCTTGACCCTTATATCAATTATATACTATCATCGCGAAGAGTTGGGTTGTAACACATACGTCTTCGCAGTAAAAAAAGGGGGTTGATCGATATTGACACCAAAGTGACCATGGTGGTAGTGACTAAATAATCTCTGTCCTTTATCATATATACATGTTAGGTCAAGTCACATAAAAAATCGAGACCTTGTCATATAACATTACCATAAATAGGTAGGTAATGGCGTCGATAAATACATAGTATACCTTTTTCTACACTCTGCCATACTTTTGAGATAGGCAAGAAGTAAGGCATGTAGCAACATCAGCACGGCAATGGGAACTCCTTTAAAGGCAAGGAAGGGGCAAAAATATTTTAAGTCAAGTGATAGCGATTGCTGTATGAGTCGTACGATTTTTTAATCAATCACAGGCAACGTCGGGCCATGCTGCTAGTATATGATAAAATATAGTTTTATAGTATGCTATATTTAATGTATAAAAGTGCTCAATATCAGAGATAGCGCACAATGAAACATTGAACACTGAAGTCAACACTAAACGGCTCAAGTCTGTTCATCCTTCAACACAATCTTCAAGCTATTCTGTTTAATTCATGAACACAATCTTCACGCCATCCTGAAGATTGCTTTCAAGCATGAAACACACTATCGCCCATTAGTGTTTACTTTAGTATATAATTTTAAACACGCACACACACACACACACACACACACATATATATATATATATATATATATATAACATAAGATCAGAAATAATTTCCAAATGCAGACATGAAAACAAATACCTATTATCACAATTTATGCCAAGCGGATAAAACAAAATACCATTACTACCGCACCACAATTACAATTACCCTATCAGTCCACAATTATACTTATTCCCCTCCCCCAGCAAAATTAATACCACCGCATGAATACTAATAAGTATTATAAATTGGAGTTTCTACGATTTACATATGACCAATCGCCCAAAATAGCAAATAGCCGTCTTTAAAATAATAACAAAATAGTATTAAAAAAAAATAAAATATAAAAGCAATTTTACCTACCATTTCGTTCTATGTCAAAATTTTTCCCAGATATCTAATGCGTTGCACTTGTTTAATTTTGATATCTTCAATTGTGATTTAAATGCTGGGATATTCCTTTTGCTTTGAAGAAATCTGTTTATCTCGCTAGATAAAGTTAGCACCCTGTTTAATCAAAATGCTGTCCTTTTGTGAGGAAACGGAAATGACCTCTCCAGATTGCTGGCCTGGGCAATGCCAATGTAGACCGTGCGCTACCCAAACTACATGATCTCACTCTCAGTCGTACCGACAAGATCCAATTGAATTCAAAAGCATTACATTTGGGACCGGTTTGGCGGCATGAGTTGCCGGGAATCTGTCAGTAGAGAGAGCCCACGGGCGCCACTCCGAGTTTTCTCTCTGAATTTACTTCCATGGCCCTTTAGGTGTTTTGTTGGATATAACCACAGGGCAGCAAATAGCAAAATATTATCTTTGACGATGGATATCTTTGTTTCATGTCTGTATAACTACTCTGAGGATGGCTTATGTGAGCCGAAAGCTTAGAACCAACTTAATAAAAATTTATCCAAATGTTGGACATTTTTTGTCTTTATTTTCACCAGAAATTTAAGCAAATATTCGAACATTAGAACGATTCATGATCAGGCAATAGACATTCATTGTCTGTTATATTTAATAATATATGTTTAAATAATGCTCATAATAGGTACCTTATCTCTTCTCTTTACGCCCTTACAACAACCCCATTCGGAGACCTTCTACCTTGAGTGGGTCTTTTATTCAGCGAACAATTTTGACGCAAAGAATCGGTTGGATTTTTCATTATCCTTTTTTTACATGTTGATTGATAATATTCTCTAACAATCCAACTGCTAATTTTTGTAGTATAGAAATAATTCATCATACCACAAGAATCTTTATTGACAAGCAATTCCCTCAACAGCGAATAATTAGAGGCAGAAAAGAAAAAAAAGTATTTGCCGTCTTATAGTTTATCGCTGTTTATACGTCTTCGCATTACAGATAACCTCAAAAAGCATAACTTACCTGGGACCACATAATATGATTTAAAACCTTTTCTATTTACAGCTATCCAACGCTAAATTTCATTCATGAAAATCTCGTTAGAAACAAAGGAAATATGACTTAACTGTTATGTAATATCGGTTCTTTCATATGGCGTTGAATGCTGGACAATCTCATCGCAGATAAGGTTTTGAAGCAACAGAAATGCGGTATTATAGGCGGATGCTGCGAATACAATGGACCTAACATGTGAGCAACGACGAAGTTTCCGAGAAAATGTCAACCACAGGGCATATTTCATAACCATAGAAAAATGTACTGAAGGGATGCTGAGAATACCATGGACTGAACATGTGAGCAATGAAGAAGTTTTAGAGAAAATGAAAACAATAAATACAATTACGCTCAACATCAGAAAGGGACAGTTGATATTTCTAGAGTACATAATAAGGAAGAAGGCTAAGAAAATTTGACACTCACAAGACATATTCAAGGAAAGTTGAACAGAGCAAAGCAGGGCATAACATACCTAATGAGCTAGTGTATATGGTTATTAGAACAGGGATTAGGAGAGATAGCGAAAAGACAAAATATGCTACATGCTACAAAGGACTGGAAATGGTGGAGAGTCGTGACCCCTCACGTCCTGCATAGAAACAGCATATTTATAATTTGACCGTGGTTACAAAAATTCGGCAAAATAGAATGTTTACAAATGGCTCTGTGTGTGTGTGTGTGTGTGTGTGTGTGTGTGTGTGTGTGTGTGTGTGTGTGTGTGTGTGTGTGTGTGTGTTGACCAAAGGAAAACGTAAACAGTAATATCAACGACTAACGAAAAAATATACATTACTACGTACTAATCTTTTTAAGTAAAGAAAAGAGTGAGGTCGGTGGGGTATCGAGGCCGGGTTGACAGTAATCGAAAGGATTCTTGGCTCGTATGCAAATGCATGTGTATGGTCACCCTGCGTTAAAAAAAAAGAAGAAACCACATCTCAGCTTCTGCCTCTTTAGGGGTTGTCAGGTCAGTAATATAAACCTTTCAAGAATTTATTGTCACGTAATGCTTGGCCTATAGAAGAAAGGTTTATTCTCACATTTTCCCCCATTATGGGCATTATTATATCAATGATCTAATAACACCGTATTTCAAATTTTGTCCAATATATTACAGTCCTGAGAAGAGGGAGAACGATAAAGGAAAAAGAGTATAATAACGAAAGTCAAAATCTCATGAAAGAGTAGTCTGGGAACTAACGATTCCCATGCCATTGGAAAATTATCCCAGATGTAAACACTAAGGCGATGCCTATGAATGCTAAAATCTTTTCAGAAAAAACGAAGATAGCCTGAAGCAGAGCCTTAATTGTTAGCCATGCTAGATGCAAAAAATATCTAGCGACTGTTCCAACATAAAAGATTTTACACTTCAGAAGTTGGAACAGAAACCAAGAACAGTGGAAAAATATAAGTGAGTTAATAATGCTCTTGGATATCGTAAAATGCGCACTAGTTATTAAATCGCCACATCAGACCGAGACACTCATATGTATGTCATGCACCAGCTCGTTCCGAAATGTCTAAACAAGCATATACAACCGTTTTCTAAAATCAATCAATAAAAATGGATTCGCGTAAAGGATCTGTGTGACTCTTGAACAGGACTTTTCTTCAGAACTGGTGTCTAGAAATCGCAGAAGAAAAAAAAACGTAACTACATAACAGAAACTACGTCACCTGAAACTTTTCAACGGCACCAACTAAAATGGATAATACATGTAACTCTAAAAGAAAATAATGACATAATCAAGATATCGATTTTCCATACTACCTTAAACAAAAGGTTAGAGAGGAAACTCACATACTAAAACTTGGTTGTTGTTTTTTTTTCGTTTAGCGGCATATCAACCTCTATTGTTTGTTCAATGCCGAAATCTAAATGATTTGTGGGCAATTTATTTTTTTAGATAATAATGGATTTAGTGATACAAGTCTTACTAATAGGAGTAGATAGGTTCCCCTATCGTCCGGTTTACACTCCTCCCCGGTATTTTGAAAAAGAGTATAGGTTTATCCCTTGTTTCTTGTTTAGGATTGGGGTTCCGGTTTCTTGTAAAATCTGCTTCAGCTGAATAATCCTAATGCTTGTTCTTTCCTGCGCTAATATAAGTGCATGCAGTAACCTCCTACCTTGAATGGTACTTGGGCCTTGTATTGGGTGAACATTATTAATTGATCCATAGCTGGTGGGAGAAGTGGTTGATTCATACCTTTTCCAATAGTATTTGAACATAACAGTTTGGAACTCAGCTCTCCGATTAACAACTTCACCACCCATACATCCAAGCTTACAGTAACTGATATTCCCAAGCGGTCACCCATTTAGGTACTGACCAGGATCAACATTGCTTAACTTCGGCGATCATACGGGTAAATTTCAACCAGCAATAATGAATTGCATGAAGAATGGTTTCCTATAAGCAAATGTTTGTTTGATTGATTAATTCGTTTTTTACGAGTTATCAACCCTTTAAGGCTTTTATAACCGAAAAATATATTGGATTGTAAGAATAATGCTATTTGTGAGACAATGTAGCATTAACAACGACTTTTCCGGGTACACGTCCAACCATTTCCGTATAAGGAAGAGGTTAATCTCACCATTAACATTATCAGTATTGCCATTACCTTTATCAGTACAAGTACCAATGTTTTCTATCGTCTTCTGTTACAGCTTAATAACTAACCCATCGTTGTACAGTGTAACCCGGATATAAGAGTTGTCGGGACCGGAGAAGAAGTCTCTTATATCCGGGTTTCTCTTATATCCGGTTTTGGTCTATTTTATATACATTAACACAGGCTCTAATTCGGGACCAGAGAAAATCTCTCTTATATCCGGGTTTCTCTTATATCCGGGTTACACTGTATTAAACGACAAAAGAAGCTGTTACCCCTCTAGGCAAGCTTGAATGGGTCCAAACAATCAATGCTGGCACGATTTTAAAATTGTTCCCCTTCGTAAATAAACTCAAATATTTGCCTATACACAATACCGGACTATATGACAGGCACTGAGACTGGCTTTCATATTAAAGTTCATGAATAATCTAAGCTAAACAAATGCTTTTCACTTCCGGTAGACAATTCTAATATTGCTTCTAAACACTTAGAAGCATTAACCTCGCCTTTTAAAAAAAGTTACAAATAAAAATAAATAGGGAGAGAAAAGGAAAAAAGATAAAGTCAAGTAATTTTTCTTGTCTCTTCCAACGTCTTATCTTTGAAAGCTAGGAACACAATAATTGTTAAGCGAAAATCTAATGTCCTGAAACAATGGCGGTGCTTATGGAAAAGGAACTAAAAGATAATGGGTGGAGAGAAAGAAGAAAAGAAACGCAAGGAACCATTAGAGAGGAGGGAACCGTTGAAACGTAAGAGGAGAGACAAAGTATGAAGGACAAGAAGACAAATAAATACAATGATCAAACGATTCCCTACACATAGAAGCTTGATTATTACGCGACGAGATTAGGTTGCACGAGTTTTTATTCAAATACATTTAAGTTTCTATAAGCCTCCATTTATTAAGGCACATAGCGATTAAAGTTTTACCGCATGATTTCTTAGATATACAAACTGTGATAGATAAATTGTCGTCTAAATTAGGCAAAAATGAAAATAACACTAACATCTCATTTTATCTGATATATTTACCAAAATTACAAAAAGATATCTTGAAAGACTAGAGTAAATTCATTCAATAAAATCGCTATTGACTCCAGGTGACTTAAGAATCTTCTGCAACTCTTCTGAGCGGTCTGCGTGTTTAAGTTGGTGAATGCTACCACAATCCTTAATTTCATTTCATCTTTATTGTTATAAAGAATTTTGTTGGCCTCAAGCCATAATAATTAAGGGGCTGCAGTCTGTGTAGTTAGGTGACCAAATGTTAGGGGTAATGTGGCCGCAGAAATTATCTGACAGCCATAACTGGGTTCTCTTGCTTGTGTGGCATGTTGCAGAGTCCTGTTACCAGGCAAAGGGCTTTATATCAGCCACCCTCTTGCCCCAAGGCAGCACAATCTCCTCAAGACACTTCGATGTAACCTTGATGTTGAATCTGGGCTCCTGAATATGAATGAAGATATAACGTTGCCATCACTAGCGATCACTCGAGACACCTTCGTACTCACCACTAGACTCATCCAACTCTTTCTGAATACTCTTCAGTTCTCATATTGACATACGAACACCCTTAAATGTTCGTATTCCGAGCTTCCTGCAGAAATGCCAGACAGTACAGCATGCTGTTTCCAAATTTCTGGCGGAGTGAATTATGTTATGGTGCTTTTTTTCTCACAGACGGTGCCGTACTGATCCAACTATACGTCGACAAAATCAAAAATAAACAACACGTATGCACGAAATTAAAAATATAAAATGGCGAATGTTTACTCATTGCACCCTCATATTAAACCTAACCAATGTGAGTCCCAATACCACAGCTTTACGGAAATTGGAATTTAATGTTAGAAGTAGACGAGATTGTTTTGGTGCTATGTACATCCTGTGATTCGCTTGTTCAGCCTTTATTTAGCATGACCGTTACGCCTGGCCAATACCTCATAAATAATGGGCTATTCCGTTTTGATAATGTGGAAAGAAATATCAGATATGCTATTTGATTTCATTAAGAAAAAGAAAGAAAGAAAGAACGAAAGAAAGAAAGAAAGAAGGGAAGATATAATTGTTTAACGCCTCTTTTAAATACCTCATAAATAATCGGCCATTCAGTTTTAATCGAGCAAAAAGAAGAAAAATAAATATGATATATGCGACTTGGAATTCCGTGAGAAAATGAAAGAAAGAAAGAAAGAAAGAAAGAAAGAAAAAGAGAAAGAAAGAAAGAAAAAAGAAAGAAAGAAAGAAAAAGAAAAAAAGAAAGAGAAAGAAAGAAAGAAAAAGAAAGAAAGAAAGAGAAAGAAAGAAAAAGAGAAAGAAAGAAAAAGAGAAAGAAAGAAAAAGAGAAAAGAGAAAGAAAGAATAAAAGAAAAAGAGAAAGAAAGAATAAAAGAAAAAGAGAAAGAAAGAATAAAAGAAAAAAAAAAAGAATAAAGAAAAAAGAAAAAAGAATAAAAAGAAAAGAAAGAAAGAAAAGAAAAAAAAAGAAAAGAAAGAAAAGAAAGAAAAAAGAAAGAAAGAAAAAAAGAAAGAAAAAAAAAAGAAAGAAAGAAAAAGAAGAAAGAAGAAAAGAAAGAAAGAAAAGAAAGAAAGAAAGAGAAAAGAAAGAAAGAAAGAAAGAGAAAAAAAGAAATATTTAACGGCTGTTTCAGGGAAATAGAAAAAATTGTCGTTTTCAAATATTTTCCTTTGTATTCACTTACTACTTTAAATAAAGGCCAGCATTCATATTTATAATTGTTATATATTGTTAATGTCGTTAAGCTCAAATATTAAAGCATGCGATAGGCGAATTCCTACGGATATTTTATTGCCGTAGTGTGCCCAGAAGTTTCAGATAAGAAAACCTTTAAATTTTCACGGGGATTTCAATAATAATAATAATAATAATAATAATAATAATAATAATGATGATGATGATGTCTGGCCGTTCGTATCCGAGGATGACTGTTGCGGTTAACCAATTCCTTGTTGTAGACGCCTACTCAGGGGCATTTGTGCTTGTTCAATACTCTCAGCGTCCGCCTGTAATTCATACTGCAACTATTCTGATGCGGACTTAGTTACAGTTTTTAGACGAGAGATCGCATCATCTGACGTGATCAGTAGTTTGAACAAGGTCAGTAAGCTGAAATCCTCGATCACGATGACTGATGCATTTGTGCTAGCACAGTCATTTAAAATCAACTCCGTCTGCGCAATTTCACTCACAAGGCATGGGTCAAACCGTATCATGGTCACTTTCTATCCCGTTCCTGAGAAAATCGACCCTGGTGAGATTCGAAAACCTGGTTTCTCGGTCTGATAGTGAACGTTTTAACCATTCAAAGCTACGCGCCCAAAATAACTTCAGATAAAAGTTTAAATATACTTTTTAAAAAATGTGCAGTTGTCAAGTGGTCATGAGATACGAGTTCGAATCTCATCTCAGAGGGGAGTCGAATTTTTGGTAATATCATTTCGATACAGATGCATGGTGATACTGGAAATAATGGCGCGTAAAATTCACGTGTCACTCGCACAAACGCCTGCCATCATTGGTCTTCAAAGATTAATATACACATGCAATTTTCTCATGTTAAATAAAGGGCGTGAAATCTGGAGTTTTAAACTTGACATGTTAGGTTACTTGGTTATTAATTTTATATTTCTAAGAGCGGGATAAATTTCGGAGAGAAGATGAAAACGGTATAACAAGGTATCCTGCTTGATAATCCATGAAGATGTATGCTATTGTTATGAGCGCTGTGGATAGCTTAAAGACTCGTCGAACTTCGAATTTAGCATTCAACCTAAAATGAACAGCACCTTAAATAATAAAAGAAAGCATGAAAAATGTCAATTCATATAAGGATATGAACAATCTCCTTTCATGTGCTGTGCTTCTTCATTGCATAGGCGAATATGGCTCTCCACAACACTCTCCCTAACAGATACTACGTAGAAATAATCTAAATGGATGGGAATGTAGCTCTAAACAAAAACACTAAGAGAAAAAGATTTAACCGCCAAAAATTAATGTGAGATAATGATAAATATGGGAAAATTTATATATATATATATATATATATATATATATATATGAAGAAAAATACAGAAAAAACAAACAAAAATTTTAACATGCAATTATGCTATATTAATGTTAATATAAAGTCGACGTCGGACGTTTCGGTCTATTTAAGACCATCTTCATGGACATTTTCATTTAAACATGATTAACATTAGAACATATAAAAAGTTAACACAAAAGACGATGGACATAAGAGCGCAACTAATCCAAACAGATAACTGAAATTTTTATGCAAGATCAGCGTTCCGTTTAAATATGATCACGTTGTCGACTTTTTTAATATTTTAATATTTGGAAATCATCTTCGAATAAGTTTTCACAACATCGCCCAAGTGACGACAACGTGATCATATCTTGGAAAAGATCGAAAGCACTTGGGTTAAAAAATACTATGGCACGCCTTCCTCGATGATTTTCATCTTAACATCAAGAAACTGATTAGAGAAATGGAAAGGATCAGTATAGGAATAAGTAGACTTAATAACTTTATATTATTCAATAATATATATATATATATATATAACCGGAAATACGTCTCTCGAATGTGGACGTATTTCTAGCTATTACAGCTCTATCTTCGCATTTCAGACAACTTTACACTATTTGGTTTAACTTAAATACTACAATACATACATATATATATATATATATATATATATATATATATATATATATATATATATATATATGTGTGTGTGTGTGTGTATACAAGAGAAAAAAATAATTTCCACTTCTTTAATCAATCAAAACTGATTAGAGTAGTGGAAAGGATCAATATAGGAATAAGCAGACATAATATTTTTTATATTATTCAATAATATCTCTCTCTCTCTCTCTCTCTATATATATATATATATATATATATATATATAGATAGAGAGAGAGAGAAGAGAGAGGGGGGCTTTTAACGCTATTGAAGATAGCATATTTAAAAAGTGCACAAACTATTAACGACCAAGTCAGACTGTTTTGCGTCTCTTAAGACCGCTTTTAGTAACCTAAACGTTGTATTTCTTAAGCATATCCATCTTTAAGCCTTTTATTTTTCGCGTCATTGTTTTCGACATAATGAGATTCTCTTTACCAGCGTCTTCTTTTGTCCTCGTCACCGACGCAGTCATTTCTTTCCAAGTTAGAACATCCTTTATTTGGTGTAATAGTCCCGCCATTTATCCCTTCCGCGAACGACTCCAGTACAGCGCCAGCCCTGTCGTACAACTTTCCCATTGTGAACAACAGTCATTGTCTGATTCTATTGGCAATGGTAAAGAAAGGAAGAGAAAACTGAACTCAGTGTCCTCAGTGTACGCACATGATCTAACCTAAGATTATCAATGGCTGTAGGTGCGTTCAGTCCACTCGTTCAGGGATAGTCTACTTAGTAAGAGGAGGGTGAAGTTTCAGAAACGTAAACAGAGGTTATAGATGGAGAAATGGAGGAGGTCTACAGAAAACGAGATAATGGAAAGTAGTGCTGAAAAGTGAAAAACAGCGTAATGGACCATAACGACTTTTTGGGGAACTCAATCCTCATTGGTTACTTCAGTTTTGCGGTCTTTCTTCAAACCAATCTAGGTAAATAGAAATATTGATTAACGTTTAGAAATAAGAAATACAGTAAGAAAGAAAGAATAAAACATAGAAAGGAAAACAGCCTAACTGAAGTAGCAGCATACAATCACAACTCACTTAACGACCGAGCTCCATTCTAACTATCTGAATGCGTTGGTCGTTAAGAGAGTAATATCTGACTGCTCTATCAACCATACTATGTAGTTAATAGGTTTCTAATTCGTTTCTAAATGTTTATGCAATATTTCTATAGTTTTATATAGTACAGCAATGTCAATCAGATATGTGCCATGCGTGATACACGCTTAGGCGACCATGTATCCTTAAATACATGACTGACGAGGCAGATTTTTTCCCGCAGTAGGTTGCCATTTCTTTCAGCAGTAGACCAGTTGACTTCCAAGGCTATAGAACCCGGTCTGTCCTGCTATTTACCCATAGTTGTGGGGAGAAGAAGAGGATGCATACCGTTTTCATGTAAGTGAAGGTAATGGATTCGACTGGAATTCGAACTCGGTTCTCCGATTTCTTAATACGAGCCACTATCCATAAATGTACGAAACAGTAAACATAATAAACACATTCGAAAATCAGTGCTATATTCTTACATTATCGTACATTACTTAGTACAACTAATTATTTATTTATTTTTCAGTTTAATTTCAATTTTTATACTAATGTTCACCTAATGCAAGTACCAAGAGCCACTCAAGTTAGAGGGCTACTTTGCGATGTATAATCGTTAAAAAGGGCAAGTGAAGTTCGTTGGGTTTATGAGAGAAAGATAACAGTTAACCTTAGAACTGAAGTGGTCAAGATTTTAGTGATTGGGCAACCATGCTGCCAGGAGTCTGTTCCACAAAGCAGCCGTTCGCTGGAATAAGCTCTCCTAGTAGTACTTACTAATATAATATGAATGGAATAAAGATCGTTCATATTTGTGTGCGTGCCATGGCGGGTCCCAGTTGTTAAGGTCAGGGCCGATAGGACTAAGGAATGTAGCTCGTCTTCTTCGTCACCACCATAATATTTGCTCCTCAGTATCTCATTTAGTGAACCAAAGATATACAAATCTGAAGGTGTCATGAGGCGAGGAAAAAGTGAAAACTGCTGTATGGAATTGGCTACATCAGCAGCCAGCTCAATTTTACAAACCATCAATACATGCTCTCATTTGTACGGGGAACCCTGACAATAAAAAAAGTGTTGACCATGTTGGGAAGTAGGGAAGTGAATCTGTGATGTACAAAATGAAATGCATTACTTTTTGACAACTACCTCGTAACTGATTGTATTTTCGGGTTTCTTTAAACGGTTAAGTCGTTAAATGAAGAATATCATGTACCACCTTCATTGCAATATGCTATGCATATAAGAGAGCAGGTAAAAAGCCAGGATTTCAAATAATATATATTTTGAAAAAAAAATGTGTCAAACCCCGTGGCTGGATCATGAAATCGCTTACATGTGTTGTAGGATAGACTGGGTTCTCTAGTCTTGCCTTGTAACCAGTCTAGGGGAACAATTACATTGAAATCACAGACGTGTGTGAACAGTAAGAAGTTATTCCGCAGTATTTCCTAAGAACAGGGCATACTATAGGTAATTCTTTATTTCTGGTACCATATAACCCAGTATAATTAGTCGCAAGTAATTAGGAAACGAGTACGACGCTGCCAAGTGATTTGCATATCCAAAGAAATGCCATGTAGAGCAGTTGGATTGCATGGGAAATGCCATGTAGGGCAGTTGGTTTGCATTGTAAATGTCATGGAGAGCTGCTGGCTTGCATTGGAAATGCCATGGAGGGCCGTTGGTTAGCATTGGGTATGCCATGGAAGGCTGAAGGTTTGCAGTGGAAATGCTAACAGGATCGAGCATTGTGCCGAGTTAAAAGCTTTGCAGATTATACTATGTTGGTGGTAGATATAAGAAAAAAACTGCAGTAGCTCGTCGATAAAGTAGCAGATGATAGCAAGAAGAAAAGATTGACCACCAGTT